AATTTAAGCTTCTTTCTGCATTTTTAGCTACTATTCAGCCGTTTTTGCAACTTTCAACCTTTTTCCTGATAATTTCCCTTTTTTGTGCACATTTCTACTTCTTTCAGCCTAAGTGGACACAATTGTGCTTTCTCCAATTAATTCTGGTAATTTAAGCTTCGTTCTGCTGTTCCAGGTACATTTCAGCGATTTTGTGCTAATTTCAGCTATTTTTAGCTAATTTACTAAACTTTGTGCTAATTTCTGCTTATTTAAACCAAATTCAGCAAATTTGTGTTCTTTCTGCTTTCTGCTGACTTTGGCTTGTTTTTTCATTTCAGCTACATTTCAGCAGGCTTTTAGCTAATTTCAGTTGTTTTTCAGCAAGTTCTTCAGCAATAAGCATTCACACTGCATTTTCGCAGGAAATACAACTTCTCTGTGTTAGATTTGAATCTTCTGCATTTTGGCTCAAAAATTTAACTAAAATAATAAACTTAAAGACTTTCACATATGCAGAAAATACTTCAAATACTTTGCTATAGTAGTAAACTAAACTAGAAAGTTCCTGGAGAAACTTTGATGGGGATTGCCTATTTATAATTAAATTATTATTAATAATAAATATTAATGATTATTAACAGGTGCCTTCCTTGCATGTTGAACCAAAATGGCTCCATATGTTACTCCTATTCATTTTCTATGGTAAATTTGGCATCTTTGTTAGCAAAATATGTCGCCATGGTAACCGCAAATGCCAATAAAAGTAATTGCACACTTCCCGGAGCCGGGCCGGTTGTTTTGATATAACTTTTGTGGGGGTAGACATTGTGGTTTGGGCCGCATTAACGGAGATAGAAATGTAGACACTCTTCCGAGGTGTAGAAAAATAGGTGATGAACCAAAAGCACATATTTAACCTTAATATATCTAGTTTCTTATTAAATTTATCTTTGTCAATCCTGTCAGTTAGGCCTTACAGGAGTGACGCAGAGGTGAGTTGATGTGAGATACTGACGTGACATTTGGCGGGAACCAGGACAGGATGTTCTTCACCACTGAGCGCTGAGCACATTGTTTTGATTCAGAACTTCCGTTTTGGTCATTCGTCAGAAGAAAACGTAACATTTTCCACAAATGGTTTTGCTATGGAAGATTATTTGAATATCATAATTTCAGTAGCTGGACTAACAAATGTTAAAAAAAAAAACAACGTGTTGTGCATGTTTATTGTTTACGTTAAAATAGTTTCACATCCAAGTTTACTTCATGTATTAGGAATAATATCTGATAGTACAGCTAAACCTAATAACTGAATATATTTGTACAGATTAGATCGTCAGTGTTACCTATTGGTTTTGCAGGCTTGAGGTCAGCATTGACATCATTTTATTCTCATGAAACGTCTGAATTTGAGCAAGTGGGGCTCTGATTTGGCACAATTTCTAAGTATACCAAGCTATATAGTGTGAGTAGCTCAATATCACAGGGAGAGTTTCCATTAAAGTGGTTTCAGAGCATCTTTGTTTTTGCTGCCTAAACATTCATTCTAAGCCTGAGAAAATGGTGCTAAGCCCTAATTTTTTGCAGGGAGCCAAAAAGAAGCTTACATAAGGGGATGGAGTTACAGCAATCAGAACAAATGAAATGTAGTGAATGTCACGTTTGAAAGTTTCAAATTAGTTCAAGATTAGTCCGCTAAATTCAACAGAATTAACAAACTGGGCCTCCGCACCGACGCAGAAGAAAACATCTTGTTTGTTTTAATACCATTATCAATTCTGCAAGAGCATTTCACATTTGGTCCATCCTCAAAACGCTGCTTTGCCGTATAAGTCACATCTATTGTGCATCACTGCTGAAGCGTCGCATTAGTTACGCGTCACCGCTGACAACCCGGAAATGTGGGCTGGTGGTGTGCCAAAAATCGATTGGCTGCCAAATGGCGGCCGTGTACACGGGAGGACTTTAACAAGAATTTAACAAGATTAACACTTACAATTATTTTTTTGCTCAAAATTATAGCAAAGGTGTGTCTCAGTATAACTTTTCCTTAATAAATGCACTTCAATGGTCAAATTAGCTGCGTTTTCAGAAGTCGATACGTGGAAATAGACGCATGCACGGGAGGATTCGCTGTGCATTTCTTCGAAATTTAACAAGATAAACACCTAAAAACAATTATTTGTTTGCTCAAAATTATAGTAAAGGTGTGTCTCAGTTGAACTTTTACTTAATAAACGCATTTCAATGGTCAAATCAGCTGCAGTTCACCGGGGCGGCGCAGTGAAATGAAGCTGATTTGACGGTTGCTCCAGGCGAGCTGGACAAAGGTGGCGGTCTATGGCAAGCCGATTGTGCCATTAATAGCCACATTTAACCTATTACATGACACAACAGCATGCCATACTAGAGTGCCATCTAGTGACTGAAAATGGTAGTGTTCAATATTTATCAGATAATATCAGAATGAATGAAAACGGTCATATCTCAGCCAAAAATTGGATTTTAAATATGGGAAAAAAAATCCATAAATATGCCACTTTGGCGTATAAGTCGCAGGGCATGCAAATTATACAAAAAAAACATGACTTGTAGGCCGAAAAATACAGTTATTCTACACAAACCATTAACAATTTCTATGATTTAGTGCAAGAAATGTCACTTACCTTTTTCAGTTCATGCACCTCGTCCTTTAAAGCATAAACAGCATCAACCAGGCTCCTAAAGAAATCAACACAACATTTATCAGGATGTAAAACCTAAAAACCAAACCTCTAATTTTATGGAAGTTTAATGTCCTCAACTTCATGTCAAGGAAAGACAAATACACGTATTTTATAAAATGTTCTTCAGGCAACCAGGTGATCCTGTGTCTCAACAGCTCAATTAGGATCAATATAAAAATTTTAATATGTGCAACAAAAAAAAGCTAGTTGGTTTATTAAATAATGATGAGTACTGCATACGGCACATTATATGCTTGTTGACCTAGAAGCTGGGAATAAAGAATATACCATAATACATCTGCCTTTCAATGAGCGTATAAAACCCTTCGTTACAGTAACCGTATCCTTACTTTTCCTCAATAACCGTCTGTCCGTTGCTTTTAATCTCCTCCACAATGATCTTCTCCTCTTCAGGCAGAAGCACCTGGGGGACACACTCTTTCCTCACTGCTGCAGATGTGCACACAAGTTAAGAGTTTCGTTTACGACTAGCCCAGCTGTTGAACATGTGGGATTAAAAAGGACAAAGAAAAAATGGATCTCCGTCTCTTCGTCAGACACAGACCTGTGGTGTTCTGGTGTGTGCTGGCTCCTGTGCAGTAAGCTTCGATCACCCGAAGTATCTGAGCGTCCTCCTCCAGAGCGACGGTGCCTGTCAACAGATTTTACCAAATAAATTAAAAAATAGACACAAGAGTTTCTTAAGTAGAGGGTGTCACGTTGGGATAAATTTACATTTTTAGGGAAGACAATAAACCTTACTGAACAAAAATATAAACAACAATTTTGTTTTGCTCCCATTTTATATGAGCTGAACTCTCAAATGTTCTCAAATTTGTGTAAATCTGTTAGTGAGCGCTCTCATTTGCCGAGATAATCCATCCACCTCACAGCTGTGGCATATCAATATCCTGATTAGACAGCATGATTATTAGGCCTAGGCTGACCACAATAAAAGGCCACTCTGAAATGTGCAGTTTAATCACACAGTACAACGCCACAGATGCTACAAGTTTTGAGGGAGCGTGCAGTTGGCGTGCTGCAACATGAGGTGATGGTCGTGGATGAATGTCACAACAGCGGGCCTCAGGATTTCATCACGGTATCTCTGAACATTCAAAATGTCAAAGATAAAATGCAACTGTGTTCGTTGTCCATAACGTGCGTCTGCCCATACCATAACCCCACCGCCACCATGGACCACTCGATTCACAATGTTGACATCAGCAAACCGCTCACCCACACGACGCCTCAAACGCAGTCTGCCATCTGCCCTGTAGTGAAAACAATTTTTAAGAATTCATCTGTGAAGAGAACACCTCTCCATCGTGCCATACGCCATCAAATGTGAACATTTGTCCACTCAAGTCGGTTGCGATGACAAACTCCAGTCAGGTAGAGACGCAGGTGAGGACGACGAGCATGCAGATGAGCTTCCCTGAGACGGTTTCTGAAGAAATTTTTTGGTTATGTAAACCGACTGTTGCAGCAGCTGTCTGGGTGGCTGGACTCGGATGATCTTGGAGGTGAAGATGATGGATGTGGAGGTCCTGGGCTGGTGTGCTTACACGTGGTCTGTGGTTGTGAGATGGATTGGATGTACTGACAAATTGTCTGAAACGTCTTTGGAGTTTTAGTGGTTTGAGTATTTTATTAATCAAGTGGAATAGATTTGTTCACGAAGAAAGAGAAACTGCGCCGCCTGAACTAATTTTTCATAGTAAAAGTGGTGGGGTCCTAATGAACGTTTTTTTAATGGGGGGGGGGGGGACATGTCCACTTCACATATAACGGTTGTGACGCCTATGCACACCAGGGAGGAGGCAAAGGAGAAGTGCTCACTAACACAGATTTACCCAAATTTGTGAATATTTGAGAGAAAAGAGCCTTTTGTGTACGTAGAAAAAGTTTTTTTTTTTTAAATCTTACCTTATCTTTCAGCTCAGCTCATGAAAAATGGGAGCAAAAACAAGCGTTGCGTTTATATTTTTGTTTAGTGTAATTTATCAAAAGGAGAAACGCATACTTTTCCTGATCTGAATCTCGTCATCAGAGGCCTTGCGCTCTTTTTTCCTGTTGCCGGGCAGGAACTTCTTTATGGGCCGTGGGCTCTTGCTGGAGTCCTGGAGGAGGCACAATGATTAAATTTAACACATTTCTGCAAACGCAAACTTTCACTTCTACACACACCTGAAAGCTGAGGCTCCAGTCCAAACAGAGTGCAAGCTTACAGGGATGGGAATCCCGAATGTACATCAAAGAACAAAAGAACCATCAACGGACAAGGCAGCAAGCGTGTGAGTTTCAAAGTAGCTCGTCTGTCAGGAAGTTATGAATCTGAACATAAGGACAATATTTTTTATTAACCCTTTCACTGACCGCACATCCTCACTGCTGCTGGCTTTCTTGCTTTACTTCCCATGGCTGTGCATGCATATATTGCTGTCATTACATTGGATGTTTTGTAGTTTCTCCGAACTACACCTGGACCATTCCTTCTATGGTTGTCTACGTCTCGTTCGTGTCCTCGCAATCCCCCCTACCGATTGGGGCAGATGGCCTCTTGTCCTGAGCCTGGTTCTGTTTGAGGTTCCTTCCTGTTAAAATAAATGATCCCTTTCCACTATCACCAACATGCTGCTATGACTGGTCATGAGAGGACATTATATAAATCAAGTGAAATTAACCGTTTCTACTGACAACAGGCAAGGTCCCCAAAAAAATTTCAAACATCAAACCTCTAGTGTTTATAAAGAATTCAAGCTGTAATCGAATTTTGAGATATCAAACCACAAAGATGTGGTTTTATGAACGAGTTTCTTTTTTTAAAAACAGCCATATACATAACTTCCTTTGAAGAGCACACAAAAAGCTGAGGTGCGATGACTAATTAACATTTACTAAATATAACTGTTGAGTCAATGTGGGACGTGATATGAACGCACCAATCTATGGCAATCTAATCATCCCCGTGTTTACTTTAAATTGTTTTTCTTAAATATAAATGTCTGGAACCGAGAGGTAAAACCAACCAATTGGAAAATGGTAGGAATCAAGTTCAGTCTGCATGAAACGGAACCACACTGGTTCCCATCTTCAAAAGCGTTTGAGAAGGCTTTTAGATTTACATAAATGCTCCAACATGGTGTCACTGGGACTCATGGGGTAAAAGCCTTTTAGATGCACAATGCTACTTTATTGTTAGTTTTTGGTTGTGTTTTATATTAGACCTGCTTGAAACACTGGTAGTCTTTTTATTTTTAATAAACTAATTTCCTATTTTTTTCCCCCATACATATTAGAAGACCCTGACAAACAAATTACATAACGAGTGTTGACTGGAGTGTTTAAAGCGTGAATGACTCGGATCACTTTTCATAACATAATGCAACACAGAGAACCCATTTCCAAGCTAATTTACCCTTTATTCTACGATGTCAGTGTACACTTCTTTAACTGTGCCAACATTGCTGTGGGACAAACCTGACTTCGCTCCATATCTAACTGGGAAATCGCAACTTCTTAAGTGGAACTTATTTACTATGACTGCGTCAGAAATGGATTTTGAAAGATAAAATCTACAAGGTGAATAGGCCTGTCGCGATAATAAATCAATTAATCGCATGATAAACGAAAATTATCGACCTCATTTTCATTTATCGGCTTTATCGTTTCTTTGAGTCTCTCTCTTTCTTCTGAGGACACTGGATGACAAAAGACTCACCTCTGGTGCTCTTCACTGAACCCTCCCTTTCCCTTTAAAATCCATTTTAGAGTCCAAAATCACATTTATGGATTGTTAAAAGCAGCTAGGCTGAGAAGCTAAGCTACGAGCTAAGCTAACAGGCTGACCTCAGGGAAAAACCTCAGTCTTGTAGAAGCTCCAAAAATTCACTATTGAAACTCGTGCCTTCCTGTAAAAGTTTTTTTTTCTCTGCAAAAAGAAGCTGAGAACTTGTTTACTGATTTTTTTATTACAAGCTTTGTGTGACAAATGCTCTGCTAAAGAGCTCAAACCACACTGACAGTCCGCCATTTTGAGAACCGAAGAGAGACAGCTCATGTCACGTCAAGGGGCCTCCCTCCCATTTTTCTTAGAGACGCGCTGCTCGCTCATTCACTATCCATCCTTCAGTTCAAACAGTCTTATACTGCCATCCGGTGGTCAAAAAAGGTGCTACACACAAAACAAATTAAACATTTCTTCTTCAATTTGACAATTACTGATTATTGTCAAATTTCAAACGATTGTATCGTTTATCGCAATAATTTCTGAGACAATTAATCGCCCAGCAAAATTTGTTACCGTGACAGACCTAAAGGTGACTGAAACCTTTCAGGGAATGCGGGGACGGGGGACTCGCAGGGCCACAGAAAACAGGAAACCAACAAGATGACAATGAGAGAGAAGGAGTAAAGCAAACAGAGCAATGACATGTCAGCTCTGAACACACGCGCACGTACAGGCAACCCCAACCCACAAACACACACGGATAGAAAGAGTTTGATCTAACCTTACCTTCATGATATAAGACATCCTCTAAAAGAAGGCGGAATGGAAAAAAAAGAGAGAAAAGGGGAAAATGTGTATGAAAAATTACAATGAGAGAAGGGTGTGATAGAGACTTACAGGTGAACATTTCAACTCTCCATCCCATTATTCTTAAACAGTTAAAACTGTTTCTGTCTATTCAACCTAATCTGTTTTTATTTAAACAATAAAAATAAATTAATTAATTAAAAAAACAGGAGGGTCTTTATATTTGCCAATTTGCCAATTAATGCAATTAGTTCATTTTAGTTGTTTCAAGAAAACATGCTTTTATTTTTTATTTAAATTTTTTTTTTTTATTGGGCTGCTGGCATTAAGTTTAAAATAAGTACACCAGCATGTGCAAAACAAATAAATACATAAATAAGATTGAAATAATTTGCTTATTATTGCATTTTCTCTTATTTCCATGTTACATAAAGTCACAGCCTTTGATGAGATTGGTTTAAACAAACAGTTTAAGGTTGAGATAATAGAAAAGACTAAAGTATTCACATTCATTAGACAATGAATGCCATTTTTGTAGAGGAGACACAAAGGAGGAAGCTACAAGCCTGTTGCTTGTTTTAAATCCTCATAACAGAGGACCAAAAGTGTGTAAAAGCATGCAGGGTTTTAAAACGCACAGAGGGGTCAGTGAAAGGACCACAAGACAATACTGGTGTATTTTCAACACCTTGTGATGCGGTAGCTATGTGTAATAACTGAAAGGTCTTTAAAGCGCCGACATGTCCGCATTTCTGCCGCCCACACCGAAAGGAAGCATTATCTCACCGCAACAATAAGTAGTTCATAACCACCGCTGAACTCAATGCTCTGAAATGCCGATCACACCTGCTGACCATGCAGATGTTACTGGGAAATAATTCCCCAAACAGCAACACCTCCTGCCACATTTCAAGCACACCTTGATTGAAACTGTTCCATTTGTTGCGTAACGACACTTGTGCTGACGCTTGTTGCAACAAAAACAGGCAACGTATAGGATTTAAAAACTACTGAGGTGATTATGTATGTGTAAAGTGCAACGATGTTCTGATTCTGTCAACGCATGGTTGCATAAATCAAAAATATTTTTTCTATATGAAGATTGCCTCCAAAGTATATCTGCATCTAATCTCACACAAAGCAGTTACAGGACTTAGGTCTGAAAATCCTGTCTTGAAAAAAAAAACAACAACAAAAAAACAAGCTTCAGTCAAAACAAATCCTGGAAACGAGCTTTACTGGTAATTATGTTTGTATTGGAAATTGTGACAAAAAGAAAAATCAAGACCCTCAAGCTATGAATGATTCGGAGATTGCAAAGAGACAAAAGTGGACGTGTAGAGGAGGGGGACTTCTTGCAGCGTTCGACTACCGCTGCACTGCACGACAGATTATGGGAACTCAAGTGTGGGTTTCATTGTGCAGCTTTGCATTTTCCTACCTCTTTGTAGCCCAGTGCAGCGGAGGGCTTCAGAGGTGGTGCAGGACGCAGACAGCTGAGAGACCACGGCTTGCTTATCTTTGGTGGTTCCAGTGGGCCTCGACCGACGGGGCTGATGCTGCCCAGGTGGGGCAGGTGTGAGGGGACACCGACTGTGCTCAGAGGCTTGCCGTCTACAATCTACGTAACACAAATGAATGCAAGGGTGCACAATTTATCCGAGAATTGCAAGTTCAGTGGTGTCAGCCATATCTGGGTGTGAGTTTGGGATTTAACACTTAAAGCGTGGTGCGACGTTCACTTTTAGTATTGTTTTTACTTTACGCTGTATACGTGTTTGTTTGTTAATGAGTGGGTGTTCTGACCTTTGATATGCTCCCGGCAGGGCTGCCTGCTTTAGTAAAAGGCTGCAGGTGTTCCAGCCACTCTTGTAACTCCTGTGGGCCACTGCAGAACACCGTGATACGATCGATCATACCTCCTAATTCAAACAAACACAAAAAAGAAGAGAAAGTTCCTTTAGTGAGAGTAATATATACTGCACGACGCATTTAGCTAATAAGACTCACTGATGACATCTACGACATGCCAGAAAGGAACAAACTATTGAAGGACTTTAGATGTCATTTACAAATGTTTGTTCAGATCCATTTTGTTCGTCAAAGCAGCAATGTCTATGGGATTTACATATACGGGCCTAAATTTGAAGTAAATGTTGGTGTTAGTAATTTCACCAGTTGGATCACACACATCTTCTACCGCTTATCTGTAATCGGGTCGTGGAGACAACAGGTCCAGGAGAGAAACCCATACGTCCTTCTGCCCTGCAACGATTCTCAGCTCGTTCTGGGGAACCCCGAGGTATTCCCAGGCCAGAGAAGAGCAACTTCTGGGTCTTCCCAGGGGTCTCCTATCAGTGGAACGTGCCTGGAAAACCTCTAAAGGGAGGCATCCATGAGGCATCAAATGCCCAAACCACCTCAACGGACTCTTTTTGATGCAGAGGAGCAGCGGCTCTACTCCGAGCTCCCCGCTGATGACAGAGCTCCTCACCCTGTCTCTAAAGCTGAGCTCGGCCACCCGGCGAAGGAAGTCCATTTCAGCCGGTTGTCTCAGGAATGTCATTGTTTTGATCAAGATCCAAACCTCATAACCATAGGTGAAGGTTGGAGCGTAGACAGACCTGTAAATTGAGAGCTTTGCCTTTCGACTCAGTTCTGTCTCCACCGTGAGACCGAAGCAATGCCCTCATTACTGGGGAAGAGGCTCCAATCTGTCAATCCATCTCCTGCTCCATTCATCACATGTGAACAAGATGCCCAGACACATGAAGTTCTCAACCTGAGGCAATCACTCTCCCCCGACCCAGGGGGAGTATATATGGTAGGAAAATGTAGACTTAAAACTGTTGAAATTATTCAAAACTAATCTTAAATTTTTCATAGACAATTCCATTGACTCCATATTTGTATAATATATTCTCTCACACGTTTCTAGTTTATTTCACTTGGTTTCAGAAAGTTTATCCAGTTGGTCAGATGCAAACCTGTGATGTCGAATGCATATTGTGCGCTTTCTGAATCGTCCACTTGTCTCGTTAATGTGGTGCCCGTTAGCGAAACTCTTCCCTAAAATAAAAAAGAGAAAAAATGAAACACATACACATATACACATACACTGTATATATTGTGGTTAGACTGGTATACAGCATCATTAATACCTAAAACCAAATAACTCAAAAGCTACAGAAAATAAACACTTGTGACACAACAAACTTAAGCTAGCTTGCTTTCTTTTACTACAAAAATTAAAAATTAAGTCTAGTTTGCTATCTACCTAGCCAGTAGAGAGCTAGCTAGGTCAATAGCACAATAACCGAATACTTTTTAATTAATTTTTGAACATTAAGAGAGACATACTACAGATAAAATAAAAATAAACCGTTACAATAATTATTACTTAAAGTTTAAGAGTTTATTATTGCAAAAAATCTTATTGAGTAAAAATTGATATTTGCATTTTTCAAGTGTAACTACAGAAGAATTGATTCAAAGTACTTAAAAAAAATAAAAATAAGAGCAAATATAGGATGATAAAATTCAAATAATAAAGAAAAAGAATGCAATACATAGTTTGACTACTCCTTTCTGCAGCGTCCCACAGCGAGCGTATTAAAGATTTGGCTTTTTTTATTTTTCTTTTTCTTTATTTTTAACACCACATGCTCTTCTGGGCACAAATTGCTCAAACCTGCAGCCTCAGAATTAAAAGACCGCGGCACTGGCCACTGAGTTACCACAACCCCATTTGCTGCATGTTTGTAATTTAAGTAAAAATTGCCCCAAAAGGCTCACATTTTAAGTGTTATTATTGGCTAACGATGCAAGATAAAATATAATCTTTAGGTCTGTAATAGCTTAATTTAACCTAATTTACAGATTAGCTCTTGAGCAACAACAGTGGAAATCATTAAAAATAAAGACCATCTGGAGTGTTTTGCTAAAGTGTTTTGTCTTAGATAAACCAAAGGGTTGTCTTCTCGTAAAGTTTGTGTTTTAATGAAAAGTCTCCATGTGTGGTGAAGATGTGTGAGAAAAGTAACCATTTCTCCTAAAGAAGCTGCTCGTTTATTAGATCCTACTCCACTGCACCACCAGTTTAAGCAGCATTAACAATATCATAGAAAATGTTCATAGGAGACAATTTAAGTCTTTTCCCTAAAAACGTGGACTTAAAAAACACCTCAAAACATAAAAACTTCTATTTAGAAAGGAAAAATAAAATCTTCAAAGCTATCTGATGCTCATGACCATTACATGCAGCGCACTCCATCTCACCTGATAGATAAAGCCGCTCATCCGGGGACTGGCAGAGAGCATAACTAACACATTAGAGAAAAGCATTAAGTAGCGCTCGTCTTTGTCCTGCAAGAAAGAAACAAACAAATGTTTGCATTTATTAAAAAAAAAAAAAAAAGACTTTGCTTCTCTTTGCCGACAGATGGGGTGGCTACAAATTAAATTGTTTACTGCACGTTTTTCCAGAAATCGCGTGTGCATCTTTAGGTAGCTCTTACTGATGCAAAAGCACAACTGCAGCTGATAATACCACATCTCTGTGTCACGTAGCTTGTCACTAAATAAAGCTGTTCCATATTCAGAAATAGATGGAAAACAAGCTGTGCTGAGAATTAAATGCAAAGTAGTTTTTTGACTGGGAATGTGGGTGGAAAGCGGTTGGCGATAATGAAAAGTGGGTTTATGTAAATACTTATGTTGGGCTTTCTTGCAACCACGGCCTCGAAGAAGACCCCATGCACAGAAAGCCCACAAGAAAGCAAAGTTTGCAATATCCTCAACATCTGACCTACTTAGGTTTCTGTTGTGATACTTGCGGAAGAAGTTAAAACTAGAGACAAAGCAAGGTGGATTTGACCGCACACGGTTCAAGAACACTGGAAATTAGATTACACTTAAATGCAGCAAATATGGCTTCAAATGCTTTTTAAATAATGCCTTACAGCATATGTGTCAAACTCAAGGCCCGGGGGCCAAATGTGGCCCTCGTTGACATCTTATGTGGTCCCCAAGATGATATTTTAAATATAAAATACTTTAATCACTTTAATTTTTTTCAGTAATCTTCGATTATGATGTTGAAAGTGCAACAGAGAACATCAAATGCGACCAATCAAACTCTTGTTGAGGAACCTGCAACTAAGAAAAGATGTTGGGTGTCTAACTTGAGTTGATGTCGATTCTGAAACCGGTCCTTAGTTTGAAAAAGGTTTTAATTTTGGCCCCATTTTCTAAGTGTGTTTGACATCCTTTGCCTTACAGCTTGAAGTGAGTGAACAAATGTAAAGAACATGGCACGGCATGCAATACAAAGCTCTTCGAGTTACTGCACTTATAGTTTTATAGCTGAAAAAGCAAACACAAAATCAAATTTCTCCGATTTTCCAAACAAAATATTGTGTTTTGTAAATCAAGAAGTCTTGCAACTGTTTTCGTCCTTCCAACTATTCGTTTTAATCAACTGAACCAGCTTTAACTTTAGATAACTTCCAACAAATAATGTTTGTTCCGTGTATTCTGGACTGTTGAGTGCAAACACAGTTCTCACCTCGTTGCAACCACTTCGTACATGGACCTGGGACATGTAGAGCACTTGACCCAGGCTCTTCATGCTGTCTCCCTCCCAGCCTCGCACTGGCTCCGATAAGATCTGCAGCTCCAGAACCTTGCGCTTCCGTAGGTCCTGACACTGTGTCTGAATACATAAATGCAGTTTGCAATGAAGATTGGTATTCAGGGTAACTTTAAAACTTTTACTATAAATGTGCTTTTTTAAGTATAAAATATGGTATTTTCTTTAAATTGTTGCATAGCTAGAGTAAAAGTTCACAACGATCCGTTAATGGCTGCTGATGAAGGAAAATGCTCTGTGTTGGTCCAATTAGATCTTAGTGCTGCCTTTGATACTGTTGACCACGCAGCCTTATTAAACAGACTGAAGGTTCTGGCTGGTATTTCTGGCTCAGCTTTGGACTGGCTCACTTCATACCTATCTCACAGAACTTTCTGCATCAAGACGGACAGGTTCCTCTGACTGTGCCCCCTTAACTTGTGGGGTGCCACAAGGCTCAGTTCTGGGTCTACTTTTGTTTTCCTTTTACATGATCCCACTTGCCGGCATTATTCAGTCCTTTTCTGATATTTCCCACCACATTTATGCTGACATTCAATTATATTTTTCGTTTAGACCACACCAGCTGGACAAGTTGGCCATCATTGTCCAATGTTTGTCCCGTATCAGTAACTGGCTCGCCAGTAACTTCTTGGTTTTAAACACCAGTAAGACGGAGACTTTGATTAGAGCTCCCAGTCATCTTCATCCAAAAATCAATCAGAAAAATTGCCTCTTTTTGCCCAGTAGCCAAATGGAAAGTAAAAAATCTAGGAGTCACATTTGAATCATCATTGGGCTTTGCATCACACATTAGGGCCATTTCTTGTTCTTGTTTCTTTCATTTAAGAAACATTTCTAAAATACGACCTGTGGTCTCCAGAGCTGACCTAGAGAAAATTATTCACGCTTTTGTGTCATCGTGTCTGGACTACTTTGATGCCCTTTGTACCTGCCTGGACAAGTCTTCTGTCTCACACCTACAAGCAATACACAATGCAGCTGCCAGCCTTCTCACCAAATCCAGCAAATACTATCACATCACTCGGGTTCTATATTCACTACACTGGCTCCCAGTGGAGTTTAGAATCCGTTTCAAAGTTCTTGTTCTGACTTACAGAGTTTTAAATGGCCAGGCTCCTGTGTATCGTTGTCAGCTTTTAACCAAATACTCTGCTGCTCGTGGCCTTCGTTCCCAGACACAGAATCTCTTGGATGTTCCACGTACGCGACTGAAAACGAAAGGGCCTTTCAGTCAGTGGCCCCAAGGCTGTGGAACAGTTTGCCCCTGCAGCTTTGTTTTGCTGACTCTGTGGAGGTTTTTAAAAAACAACTGAAAACACTTTTATTCTCCCAGGCTTTTATGTCATGATTTTATTGTTTTATTGTGAAGTTCTTATGCTTGTTTTATTCTTTGTTTATTTTAGCGTTGATTTTATTATACAGCCCTATGTGATTTTATGTCTGTGATAAGTGCTCTATAAATAAAACTTTACTTACTTACTTGAGGTCTGTCTTTTAAAAAACCTTGAACGGTTAAGGTTTTTTTCTAATCAATTCATTTGAACAATTCATCACTTCTACCATCTTTGTGCCATTTTTATCACTTTTGTCAGATGTATGTCAGATAACTTCATAAAATGGCACAATTTCAGGTGATATGCAGGGGCTCTCCCGCCTTCAAACAGGAAAAATGACAATGCAACATCTACAATTTTCCATTTGTTTTGCACAAAGAGCACGGCAGCGCTGTTCTTCAGAGCCTGCCCACCCAACCGCACATTCAGAACACAGAATAGTTAAAACGTTCAAACGACACACGGCAGAGCAGTGTGAGGATTTTATCTTCCCGTTTCCAGTGAAGCTCTGCTGCAGAGATGAGTGAGTCACTCCTGTTCTTACAAGGAACACAAGAGTTACACCGGGGAAACGGTGCGTTGTTGACTTAGGTTTAACGCGGTTGCTCGTTTCTAATCCAGTTCTTTGAGGATGGGATTTTCGATTCACACATACAGTAGGAACAACATAGTCGTTCTATGTAGGGCAGAGAAAAAAAGATCACTTTCATTAAGCCTGAGAAGTGTTACGATACGTCCCGACTCCTGTGGGTGGCTCGTCTCGGTATAAAAGCTTCAACCAAATCGCCATAAAAACAAAACCTATTGTACTTATTTTTAGTTTTTATTTTATTTATTTTTAGTCAGTTGTTCAATACAGATTATAAGAAGCCTTATAATATTGGGTAGTACAGATTTTGTTTAAAAAAATGTTCTTATCTTTAACACAAAGTAAGGTTTTGTGAATAAATAAATGAAAAAATAAACAAACAGGTGGGCGTGCAGTCTTGTATTTAAGAATTGATGTGACCGGATTAGAGACTGCTCAAGGTTTAATCTGTACTGTTGAAAAAAAATGTTACAATCTAATTTTTAAAAAAGGGCTAAAGCATAATCAGTAGTGTGATCAACAGATGCTGCTAATGTCCAGACTTACCACTAAGCTCTTGAATGCTGCTGTTGCCTTTACGATGTCAGTATAGTCTGGGTGAGCTTCCTGTTGTGCAAACATTAAAAAAAAGTTAAAATATAAGATAGAAATACATTACGCAGGAAAGACTAAATATTTAATACAATACTGAGCAATGACAGATGTTAGTGGTAACCCAATTGTTCAAGACATGCCTCCACACTTTCTATATCCCCTTTAAAATGTAGATCTAAAGCAAAACATGTTCTTCCTGTAAATATATTTAAATAGGTTTGTATTATTTTGTACCTCCACGTGTCTCTCCAGCTCCTGCAGAAGTGTCAGGTATTTGTCGAGCCTCAAGAAGGGTTTACTGAGGCTAACGGTCAGGGTCATGATTCCTGAACCACTTGCTCCCTGGCTCTCCATGAACTTGCCGAGTTCGTCACTGTCAAATACACAAAAAGAACCCGTAATTTTCGTTAATTTGGGTCTTTTTTTGGTTGATTAAATGATATGCAGTTAACTACAGAGCAGCAATTTAAAAATATTCTGATCAACAGTTACTGGAAACATTCAATTGCAGTTATTGCTGCACAGGAGGGTCACACCAGATACTGAAAGCAAAGTTTTACATACCAACAAAGTCCATGCTCAATAATCCAGGTATAAAATCCAACAATTTTCAGTCAGGTCATCTGGACAGTTTCTTCTTTTTTTTTTTTTTTTTTTTTTGTGCTGAAAAGTTTCACCGTCCATCCAGAAGGCTTCATCAGTCAAGCTGTTGGGGGAAGGATCAGTTTTATGTTGTGTGTTTCCTTGACTGATAAAGCCTTCTGGATGGAAGGTGAAACATTTCAGCACAAAAAATAAATAAATAAATAAACTGTTCAGATGACCTGACTAAAAATTGTTGGAAAGTTTTACATACTTTTGCCACTCACGAATACATAATGTACCATTTTCCTCAATAAATAAATGTCCAAATATAATATTTTTGTCTCATTTGTTGAACTAGGTTCTCTTTATCAACTTTTAGGACTTGTGCGAAAATCTGATAATGTTTTAGGTCATATTTATGCAGAAACATTCAAGGACCACTGGAATAATACTCCTTTGTAAAGAATGTACAATTTAGACATAAAACCCCTTTCAGAAACAGAAAACTAACTGAACTAAAAATAAAAGCTGTCTTGGGCTCTCAGAAATCAAAAGAACATAAAACTCATTAACTGCCGTAATAAAAATGGCAGCAATGGGGGTAATAGAATAAGCTGCACATCTGTAAATCTGAATGAAATACAGAACCAGAATGCTTTATGTGTCAAACAATTGTAGAGTATCATATCTTGCTTTTTGTTATTTTATTTTTTAGAAAGTGCATGCTTATATCAGAAGAGACTTTCACTAAAACACATTCTGGATGTTTTATGTGACTAAAAGAAGCAGAGTCTTCAAACAGCACGTCTTGAAACTAAAACTACAAATAAAGAGAAGTGAAGCTACATAAAGCCAAAATGATAAAACCTTTCGCTTTGTAAATGGCAACAATTGCTCTCCTCCGAGCGCGCTTTGCACGTTCCTTTTATTTTGTTTAATTTGTCACAGCTTCAAAATAACACACCATCGTGTTCTAAATGTGAGAAAATGTCACAAGCAGTCGTCACAGTTAAGAGTTCAACACGTGGTATAAATTAGGTGAGTTCGGTTTGTGCAGTTTATGAGATTAAAAAAAAACAAACAAAAAAAACAATTACTTTCTAACCGAGGAAGTTTGATTTGACAGAAACACCATTAGCGAGTTTCTACAATCCTTCATTCATACAGAATCCTGCAGCAGAATTAACTCGTAAAGTAGAATATGAAGGCACTTGCAACAGAAATGCAAATGTGCTTACTGTGAAAAAAAGCAGGTTGCCTGGCTTTTAAAACAAAAACCACAGCTCTGTATATCCTGTCAACAGTCAACTTCCTGTGTGTAATTCAGTGTGTGAACGGAGTTTATGTACAAGACAGAACCTCACCTTAACATCACACCGTACTGCTTTATTTAATCTGCCCCATAGTGTGTGTATTTATAACTTTTAAGATTATAAAGCATTTAATGGAAAAAGATTGTTTTAAAGTGTAAAAAGAAATAAAAACCTCAACATATAAACACTAAAGTTCTAGGGCTGTGGTTGCTCAAGGGTCAGTGCTGCAGCCTTGTAAACCTGAGGTTGCAGGTTTGAGCCCAGGTTGTGTCAGGAAGGATATCTGGAAAATAAACAATTTAACAAATCTTTCATGCAAATTAATTTGCTGTGGCGACCCCATCAGGAGGGAGAAGCCAAAAGGAAAACAACCTTACACAAAGTTTAACAGGTGTTTTTACAGATGGGAAGGCTGACACCTTGTGGTTTAAAGCAAAGCTACAAAAAAACAAAACATAATCCAATTGTAATCATTTTAGATGCTTTTAATGTGACAGAATGGCAAAAATTCTGCAAGATGAATTCAAATTCTTTATACCTGTGTAAACATCAAGATTCTTTCCTGGGAATGTATGAATACTGATGGATAGTTTCTTTTGTTTGGTTTGCAGAAGCTGACCTGTGATCGGTAAGGATGGAGACAGCAGAAGGGTGGCTGGAACAGTAAGTCAGGTACAGATTCTTTATCTGGTTCATCAGGTTTAAGTAGCAGGCCGCCACTCGCTGCTGGCTCTCTGGGACCCTGCAAAGTCAGGCAAACAGAGCACAAGTCACATGTGAAAGTGTCCAAATGCATCTAAGGAGAACACATTTTCTGTTGAAATGTGTGCAACAATAGTAACTGCATTATAACACCAGTGGTGGGCACGGCTCCGCTAATCCACCAATAGTGAAAATAACTTTCCGTTTAGCAGATTAACGTTTTCACTAACTATGGATACCTTTAGTGAAAACAGCTTCTGCTAAATTTAAATATGGTAAATTTAAATCCGCTAATTTGATTTAAAGACGGTTCTCCACACTGAAAGATACAGGAATATGGTGATTTATACAGAGAAATGCTATATGCTATGCTATACAGAGCTAAGCAAAGGTAAGCACCATCCGGTGATGTCACCAACCATACGGCGCTTTTTTCCTCCTAAGAAGTCTCTGACTCGTGGTGTCAGTTTACAGTAGGGGTGCACTGATTGCAGTTTTCTGGACGATCAGATTTCTACAAAGTCTGACCTATCGATTCCAATTTTGTTTTATAAGTGACACTGTCAGGTGTTATAAGGTCACAATGCACCTTCAATTTTCCAATCTTATTTTATTGAAAAACATACCCTTGAACAATATCCTAGAAACAATACAAACTTGTTTTAACTGGCCATGATGTAGTGCTCTGAAATATGAAAGAAGTTCAGACAATTGTTGTTAAAACAAAAAAAAAATGGTAAAATTGGTTTCTCATGCAAGAATCGGATGATTTCCAATTTCCCAAAATTAAGGAAATTGGAGCTGATAAATCGGTGCACCCTTAGTTTACAGCCAATAAGAGACTTAAGTAAATGCCAAACCAAACAAGAGCAGGAAAATAACATGAAAAACCAATTTCCAAACTTAGAAACATAAACATTGTACACATTCCTACCCAGCATGCTTTGCAATGCTCACAATGTCTCTGGGACGTGACTCTCTCACTCAATGCACACATCACAAACAGATTATGGAGATAATATTGATGATGCACAGCAACTTTTGTATTTAGTTTATAAAAGTAGTTAACCACAAAGAGGATAGTTAAAGTGAGTCAATTAATTTTAGTAAATGACACAAGGGAGACGTCCGACACACACTGAATGCATCACTATGCTTCAGCTCTGCCTCTTTGACTCGGATAGACCAGATTAATTTCTGAAAGCTCACCGCTGAACGGAGGCTTTACTTGTGATTTAAGAACCGTTTTGAGTTATGTTTGCTTACAACGTTGTCACATTACAGTCTTACAGTGACAGCAGTGTATGATAAAAGTTAGTGCTTTAGCGTTAGCTTCCACTAATGGTTTTTATCCATTTAGCATTAGCAAAGATTAATTTTTTTTAGTTGGTAAATTAGCGGTTAGCGAAGGTAACTTTTTGGTTAGCTGTGTTCACCACTGTTTAACACACATAGTCACTTCTTGCAAACTGATATCTTTTAGAAAAAAAATAAATGTACAGGACAGGATGTCTAGGAGGAAGGAAGTAACTGCAAAAATACAAACAAGAACGATAAGCTTGACAGAACACTACTGAAGTAAATGAACATAAAAGGAAATAAGTCACTCAATGAATACAATCCTAAATGGACTTTATTGTCCAAACACTGCTGCAGCAGAAGCTACATATTATTATCTACAAAAGGATTTATTAAGTAAGGCATGTCTTACTTGGTGCATTCCTCCAAAGCTAAACAAAGTTCCTGCTGGAAGGTAAGGATGACTTCAAGGTTTCCACACAGCGTGGCGCTGTCAGAGCTATTTAACCTGGACACACAGGATTAAAGAGAGGTAAATAAAAGAGAAGTACTAGTATTGGCAAAAAAAAATAATAATTGTATAATATACATATATATACATATATATATATATACATATATATATATATATATATATATACATATATATATATATATACATATATATATATATATATATATATATACATATATATATATACACATATATATACATATATATATATACATATATATATATACATATATATATATATATACATATATATACATATATACATATATATACATATATATATATACATATATACATATACATATATATACATATATACATACATATATACATATATATACATACATATATATACATACATATATACATATATATACATATATATATACATATATATATATACATATATACATACATATATACATATATATACATATATATATATACATATATATATATACATATATACATACATATATACATATATATATATACATATATATATATACA